CTGACTTTGGGATTTTGAAGCCGCGGACTCGCTGGGCTCGCTCTTTCTGCTCCCCTCCCCGCACCCACGAAGCTATCGCCCCCCACACACACAGTGTTGAGACGGAGCTAGCCTCTCCCAATATGGATAATACATGGATATGGATTTTCACGTGGATGGCGTGACCATAGAACGATAGAACCGGGAAGCGCGGAGGAACGAGACTTTCTTTTGGATGGCTGTTTTTCTGTGTAAGCAGTAACCAGTGACGAAGACGAGAAAGTTTCAGGTTAGCTCCGCCGCTTGTTGTGCTAACTCAGCTGTCTATGCTAACGGACCTGTAGATTTCTCACGAAAGTGGGGGCTAGTGGTGCACTGTGATTGGTCACAATCTGCGACCCGAAACACATTCTCTTCCTTGTTTCATCAAAACTCGATCGAAAATATAATGTCAGGCCAGCACAAATCTGTGCTACTTTTTCTTCAAAAGGACGAATATCCCAATGCACTACATGGACATGGATAGCATTTTCGTAATTAATACGAAAATAAAGTCAGTTAGTGCAGCTTTAAGTCATTTATATTCTATTACATCTGAGACCACATTGATCCCTCCCCTTCATTGACCACTGCTACATGCCTGTTTTAACTTACTTTATTTAAGATAAGATAGACTTTATTGATCTCACACTGGAGAAATGTACATGTCACATTTGGGACAGATAGAATCACTCAGATCGTGCCAAAGACAGAAGTGTGTTAAAGGTTAAAAATATAGTCTGTGCAGGATATAATTATGTACAAGAATACAATACAATACATGCAAAAGTTGTATCTGGGATATGCCGGTTGATTTGAACTAAACAATTCTACCGATTGCTAGCTTGCTCTGCAGTTTGAGTGTAGCCTCCAGGGTCTTTGGAGACCGTGGGGAGAGGCCAGAGCGCTACAGCAGGACTTGTGCGGCGTTAACATAGTGATGAATAATGAGATTTCAAATGTAAATATATAACAGTGTTCCAGAGGTGTCACAGAGGGCCACTAGCAGACAGTTTCCCTGTGGTGCTGTGTGGAGGACAGTTTGCCTTCTCTGTATTCTGCTCTGTAGCATGAGGAGCGTGCTCACATCTTCGCCTGCTTCATTTTTGTGCCGTTGGCACAGGATGGAGCTCGACTCTGAACCGTGCTGGCTCTTCTTTCCTCCTGATTTGGCCTGGACTTAGACGCCTCGCTCCCGCAGATGTCTCAGGGCCGCTGCCTTGTGCCATAAGTGATCCCCAGCGTGCGGCAGAGCTGTGGGCCTGAGACGTCTGTTCCGAGCCTCTGAGTGCTGGAAGAGCAGAGAGGGGTAAGAAGTTTTGGAGAGCTAGGATAGTAAGAAAACAGTTCATATTTTGGCTTTCTACACTTTTATGTTTTTTGGTCATTTCAGATACTGACATGTTATGTCATTTTCATCCCCTTTATTAATTCATTTCTGGTTCGGGGGGTGGGAATCAGGGCTGCCACCCAATCCTCAAAGCACCACAGCCCCTGACTGACCCTCCTGCTGGTGGTGGGTCCAGGGGAAGATGGCTGCTCCGAAAGTCCAAGACACAACCTTGGACTTGGAGGCTTCAGGCAAAGTGGGGTCAAGTGTCTTGTCCAGGGACACAACGGCATTAGTGGGAGCAGGTTTTCTGAGTTGTGGGGAGATCAAACTAATTTGGCTTGGAAAAAATTCCAGCTACACATCCAAGGCCATGGTTGTATTCCTGGGCACAACCATCAGCTCCTTCATCAAAAAGGCAGCTCAGGAAAGCCATGCTGCCTGCACAGATGTTGGTGCAGTTCTACACGGCCATCATCGAGTCCACCCTCACCTCCTCCATGTGGTTGCAGTATCTATCTGCTGTGAGGAGCAGCATCTGCAGTCAAAGCTCTAGATTTACTGTTCAGTTTACATTTCTCACCAGTTGTCATGAGCGTTGGAGAACGGCCTGAGGACAAGATGGAGCATCAAACAGTCCACATGAGTTTCCTTATAGGGTGAGGAGCTCAGGAAACTCAGAGTAGAGCTGCTCTTCCTCCACATTGAGAGGAGCCAGCTGAGGTTGTGAGAGGAGCTGTCTCCATGTGACCACAATGAATAAAGCTGAAGAAAATGGGTGCTGGTGTTTGTGAAATTGGTCAAATACTGTGTATATGGTTTGGGACAATTGTCTAGGTCCCAGGACACGGTTTGTAAATGTACACTGCTGGAGAGTAGCCCAGCATCACTCAATCAGAAGTCATCACATAAGTGGCAGCGACTGCCAAACGTCCTGTAAAACTAACATTTGAACAAAGTGAATGATTCGCAGCCCTGGGCTCGTCTCTGTCATGAGTAGAACAAACAGCAGCTGCTGCTCCCTACGTGCTTTCTGAAGACGCTGACGGATCACAGATATGGGAGGATTACACGCTATTATCACCAGATGCAAGCAGACATAACAGTCCATCTTTACATGCTGCCAGCAACTGTAGACTCAACTGTTCAGAAAGGTGACAAGTTGTAAGAAAATATGGACCTTGTATTTGTCACTTGTCATTACAGCCCTAAGCGGTAAAGCACATTTCACCTGCAGATGTGAGTCATTTTTGTGTAAAAATCACACTTCAGTCATTTCTATGTTGTTTGTTGCTGTGATCGGCTGAACTAAAACTCTGGGGGGCGGGCAGTAATTGACACTTTACCAAGTCAGCTCGAATGGCTTCACTCTTTTCTCTACGAATGTCTTGACCCAGACACAAATGCTTATTGTAAAGTCTTGTGGTTTTGGCTAAGGATGAAGTCTTTTACATGTAAGAATGTTGTAACAGGGTTAACAACGACTGATTCCTCCTCCTGTTTATCCATTCCTCGCCTCACACAAAGGCTGTGTCTAGTTTACAGCTTTTGCATACAGCATTGTCACACTACCATAAGGCAAGTTCATGTTGACTCCTAAGCTGTGGATCGCAGTGCTGCGGTGTGGGAGTGAGGTGTTCACATCTGCTGCCGTAATCCGCTAAAAGTCTTTTAAAAGAGTGCTTAAGCCCCCACAATCCCCCTGCATGTTGCTTTTAGGGTACCTGCTGCTGTCACACACCACAGCAGACGGGGGCCAAGGCGACGGGGCCAGATCCATTTGTTCAGCAGAATTAGCCACCCTCCATGCTTAACCAATTGTACAAAGATTGATTTTCTTCAGCAAGTCTGCCAGAACTGCTCTCACAAATACAGGAAAAGAAGACGCACATGCTTTTGTCTTGACTAGAAGACTTTATATTCTCTGATTTGGTGGAATATAAAAGTAATTATAAATTGTAATTATAAAGTATAAAAGGAGACAATGGTCTGTTTAGCTAGCAAAAGCCCCTGAGAGGAAAGATTAAGACAAGGTTCTAATCCTGTTCCAGGTCCAGAAGCAAGACCCCCTCAGCCACCGCTCCCTGACAGTATCTATTGATTATTGCTACTTATTCCAAATCACTACAGGCCATGTTAAAGGGCCAGTCCTGCTGAAAATTTCATAGACTTTTTTTTTCCCATTTAATCATTTTAAGTTCTAAAATAACATGCTAAATTAGTAGTTTAATTTGTGCAGAATTTTAACGGTTCATAAATAAAGAATAATATAAATATATATATATATAAAAAAACAATATTGTGCTCATAAAATTACATACATAATTATAAACTGTAATTATGTTGAACTTCATTACGTAAACGGCTGCTGGCTGGATTGTAAAAAGAACGCCCTGGGACATCATTATAAATGTAGAAAATGCCTTCAAGGAAACACCAACGTAAACAGGACGCTTTCAGAACATTTTATTATCCTGCAAATGTCCACAGTAAAGACAGGTCTTTCTAAATACTTACACCTTCAGAAAGTACAATATTCTACTTCATAACAAATCATGTAGTATTTGTGTAAAACAGACTTTGAGTTTTTAACCATGGCTCCTCATTAAGTGGGGTGTTTTAAGCTCCTCCCACACTGATATCAGGAGCGTCTGCTTCTGTCAACTCGATCACAGTAAGTTTGATCCAATATATACCGTACGCTCTGTGTCGATCATTGGTGATGATAATTTTATCAATATATCATTCCCCATTTGATTTAACTCGCTCCAATACCATACAACCGGTAAAATGAAATAAAAGTGGAATAATATAAAAAGGACCGTGTACAACCAGTGGCTCAAAAGGGTCCTTGAGCATGTGCGCTGACATGCTTGTAATTTCATTTCTTGCCGGTGGGGGTGTACCCAGAAAGAGAATTTTCCAGTGCATTCTAAAGCTGCCTTATTTCCTCTCGAACATCTTTTCACAGGATGGTCAAAAAGTTGGCTCATGGCTCAATGCTATGTTGCAGATGCTGTCAATGCTGAGGGGAGTATTCTTTTTGGAGAGACTCATGGAGTGGCATGGGGCTTTTTTGAAAGGCTCGACCGTTATATCAGTGAGTTGTACACACTGCACGAGAAGACAAGCGCAGTGGCGCGCACCGAGCCATGCTCGTCAGACCAAAATTGGGTCCTTGCATATTTTTGCTCGCACAGTGACGTGGCTCCCAAAACACATGGGAAACATGTTTGTGCGAGTGGTCCTTGGCACTAGATCAGCTCCATACACACAGCACTGCACAGGCAGGTTTGACAGTGATTCTGGACATTGTTTTTTTTTTATTCTTTCATTAAGGCCATGTCCACACGTAGCCGGGTATTTTTAAAACCAAATATTGTTGTTGTTTTGGGGGCATCCTGTGACGTGCGAAAACCCAAAACTCTGGTTATCCAATGCATAAACGGAGTTCTCAAACATCTCCACTTTGCAGAGAGTTTTTTTATACATTCTTTTATGATGCGTTGTCATGTGAATGACAGGTGCAAACAAAGAAAAATATCTGCAGTTTAGCAGATTCCCGGCTATACGAGTGGGCGAGGCCTAAGTCTTACGTTTGACCACATCAGCTCTCAGAGACCATGAGGAGAAACATGAGTTTCTTCTGTCGATGAGAGGCGCTCGTCTCGGTGTGAAGGGGCCCTTAGGCAGTGCGGTGAGGTTCATGAATGGTGAGGTAGGCACCTTTTTAAGCGTAAGTGTAATAAGGGTGTAATAGTGTAATAAGGGTGTAATAGTGTAATAAGGGTGTATTAGTGTAATAGTGCATCTGGTTCATGTACACTGTGCTTGCTACAATGCCACTGTGTTGCAATTAATGTGAATAATGTCTAAGTACTTAAATGCTCTCTCTTGACTGGTGTAACGCATTAATAAACAAAAATCATAATAAACATTTACATTTTCAAACTAAGCTATATTTTGAATAATGTCTAAATGCATTGTCCTGCTCCACTTTCACTGCAGTTAGTTAGCACGTAGCATGTGGTCGTCTGGCTAAAGCAATGGCACCAGAGTTTCCCAGTAGACATTATTAAGTGTCCTATAGCACCCCCTGTCCCACTTCCAGCCTCCCCAGTGACAGACAGAGAAACCAAAGAGCTGTCTGCTGCTGCCTTCTAATGAAGCGCTTTTCTGTCTCCGGCTGAAATGTGAATAGGCCTGTGGACACCGCCATTAATTATTGAGAAGAGCTCAGGCAACACACCGTATTCAGGCTGACTCCAGTTAAAGCTATTGTTTTTAAAAGTGCTGTCAGAGATGGATGCATGGAGTGTATTTGGTGTGTAATGTAAGAGACAACAAGAGTTAGTATCAAGATTAGATACATCAGAGAGCAACACTTCTCAAGTTTAGAAATACAAGATGAAAAGGAAACTAGTCTTCTCCATTGATGTGTTGCTTTACTTTTTCTTGAACTTTTTGGCAAATTGTCTTCAATATCCATTGAAGAAAGTTTTTATATTAAAAATGTATTGTGCTTTAGTCCTTTTACTCTTACCTTTCAATGTTTTACTTTTTATTGTATTGCTTTAGGGTCTCCAGTGGAGGAGCCCTCTGCACAGGGAGCTGTGGACGGATGTGCAGGTCTGGGTCCTGGACCTGTAGGGGTCTGGAGCCTCCTCTCCCCTCCGGGTCCTGTGGGATCCCCTGTGGCAGCAGGTGGCTCTCTGATCCTGGTGCAGACAGCTCTTTGGAAGAAGATTCTTAAGCTATCTGTGTGTGTGTGTGTGTGTGTGTGTGTGTGTGTGTGTGTGTGTGTGTGTGTGTGTGTGTGTGTGTGTGTGTGTGTGTGTGTGTGTGTGTGTGTGTGTGTGTGTGTGTATTTAATAATACAGTATATGTGGTTTGGGTCTGTTGGGTGAAAGGATCATGAACATGTGGGATTGTTTTTTTTCAAACTGTAAAGCACTTTTATGCATTGTGCGGTTTATAGATTGAAGTTTTATTGATTGATTGACTGATTTTCAACCTGAAATCCCTAACTTTGAATTGTTTCACAGACAGTGTTGGGCACGTTACTTTGAAAAAGTAATTAGGTATAGTTACTAGTTACTTCTCCCAAAAAGTAACTGAGTTACTAACGGAGTTACTCCACTATAAAAGTAACTAGTTACCAGTAAAAGTAACTATTGCGTTACTTTTTTGTTTTGTTCTGGAACATAATGTGCACCCGACGTGCGCATTTTTACCTTTAACAGTGCCAATATTTCCATCTAGAAAAGGCTGTTTTGCTGCTGAAGTCCTGTTCACTCTTCATCTCTCACTGTGCTGTAAGCACTAAACACCAACACCCGCCACTGTGAATGTGGAAACACCGGTGACGAGCGGTGAGGCTGGTGAAGCACTGACTTCAGTCCAATCAGATGAACATATACATCATATAAATCAAGTGGACAATTTGTTTGGCTACAGCAAAATATGTTTTATGCCCGCATTGCTTGTTCATACAAAACGCAAAAATATGAGTTATGGGTCTTACCTTATAGCTATACCTTATAAATGACCTGCACAGTCCACTTCGGTTCAGACCAGTTCCTTGATTAAATCCAGATGATAGTTTGAGCGTAGATATGTAATCCTCCATTTGGAAATGAGTCCAATGAGTTTTAAAAAGTAAAACAAAACGCGTGTGTCCTCCATAAACTCCTGTGTTTTGCCAGCGGCAGCCGAGTGCATCCAATTTCTAAAATCAACCGTCTTACACTTCACCTCTCTTTCTTATCATTCCTATAGTAATTGAAAAATTACCCTATGTGCATTTTAGATTATGTAAAAATGTATTATATGTATGTTAGCCAAACCTGTTGCTGTCCTTAGCAGATAAACCAGGAAGAGCAAGGAGCTTATCGATGGAATTGTATGCAGCCGACTTCTGCGATCACATGCGCTCCTCTGTGGCTGACCTCACGGTGATACAAGCCGTGGTTGAGCGCGATTAAGACCCATATTTGTTTCAAAAACACAATTTATGAGCCATCCTCTCAACTGTAGACATGTAGATTGTAAAGGAAATATGATTTATATCAGCCAATAATTGCTGAGAGGTTTTCTCATCCTCCCTTCTCTCATGACAACACGTTCATTGTGCGTCTTGAGTAACGCACAGTAACGGGATGTCGGAAATGATAACGGCGTTATAGTTACTGTCAAAGTAATTAGTTAGATTACTCGTTACTGAAAAAAGTAACGGCGTTAGTAACGCCGTTACTAGTAACGCCGTTATTCCCATCACTGTTCACAGATGAGAAGCCTTGCCTACATGAAGTTGTTTACCATCACCTCATGCAGTGAATGAATGATGCTGTGGAGCGCCTTTGAGTGTCAAGAAAAGTTTTCCTTTATTATTATTATTATTTGTGACTTCTGAAGTTGTGATTTGGATGTTCAGCTCTCCCAGTGCCAGGCTCAGTGGGATCAGCCATCAGCTGTGATCCGTGTGCGTCCTCTTCTCACATCTTGGCCAAACTCTCCCCCAGCCCTCCCCTCCTCCGGGAGCGAGCCGAAGGTGTGATAATGATGTTGGAAAAGCAGAGGTGACCCGTGGATGATTGGGATCAGAGCAGTAGTGGCAGTAGTACTCTCCAGGGGCGAGACGTCACATCAGCGTGTGTGAGGAGCAGGCGCTTCACCAGAGCCGCTGTGTCGCCTCCATCAAAGACACTGATGGAAAGAGCTGAGCTCCAGCGCAAGTGCAAATGTAAATGATCTACTTTACTTTAGGGGTTAACGTCACACTGTTGTAAAGTTATAGCATGTTTTTAAGTTAACCCTAACTCTAACACAATTCATTTATAAATTAAGAGTCCATGTTTCTTTCATCTCACTCCCACTGACTAATCCAAGCATCAAACGTTGGGGGATCGAGCATGCTCCATGTCTGCTCCCACTCTCTGGAGCTCTCTCCCCCCTCACCTCAGAAACTCGTACTCACTAAACTCTTTCAAAAAACAGTTAACATTGCATTATTCATTCCTGCTTTTAGATTTTTTGTTTTGTGTGTCTGTCTGAATGTGTATGTGTGTGTCCTGAACTGTGAAGCGTCTTTGAGTTATTTTTAAAGCGCTATATAAAACCAATGTATTATTATTATTATTACTATTGCATCATGCCCCAAGTGCTTCAGCATGATGCAATGTCGATGCAGGAGGGTCTGTTAGACTGTTAGTGGGTCTAACAAGAAGGACTGTGGTGATGATCCAGGACACGTGCTACCACATTCATGGACATTGGTCTCTCTCTATGGACCAATACATATGTGTATTTATTGTGTCTTAACTGTTGATTCTCTGATCTGTGTTGACAATTTCCACGGTTTTGTTAAGTCCTCTGAGATACTGTTGTGATTTAGGGTTATACAAGAATACATTGAATTGAATTGAAGTAATGAAACTTTATTTGACTTTATGTTGAGTGATTTAAGAGTTGCCAATGAAACAAGAACGAACTCTCTTGCTTTATCCTCGTGCAGTGTGCTTGTCTCACATATTTTACTAGTCTTTTAAAGTGGACAGACTCAAGCCTAATGACACTATCGGGGTATGGATTTTTCCTGTGCTGAGGATTGGGGTGTGGGTGTACTCTCCTGGAGCTGCACTGTAGTGTGGCTGTTGGGAAGTCCTGGATTACAGCCACTCTACATGATGCCATTCTACTGGCTGTTCAACGAGGACCCCTACTGGCCATAAGTATACTACTCTGTGCACCACTTCTGTCACAAGTGATTTGAATATCTGTGTAATAAAGATCCAGTAACTAACTTCTTTTCACAAATTATGTTTTAATAATGTGTCCCAAGAGAAAGAGTAACATGTTGTAAATAATTCTACAGAATCCTGTCTTCATTTAAGCTGATTTCAATTTGTAACATGGGCCAAAAACACATGAAAACTAGTACTAGAACCAAACTGTTTTGGAGCCATATATTTCAAATGAATGTAGTTTGACAGGACTTAATTAATGGAGACTTAACTTAACTTCATGCACTGTAAACCCTAACTTCAATCGTACTTCAGATATCAAAGTTATTTTAAATAGATTTTTCCCAGTAAGTAAATATTACTCATTTATTGTTAGTTTATTTAAAGCTTGCCTATGTCACTCAGGGTTTTCTTTGAATTGAACTGTTTGTCAGTGACAGGGTGGCCTGGTGGCTGAGTGGGTGGCACCATTACCTCTCAACTACAGGGTTCTGAGTACGATTCCCTGTCGGAGCATAAGTCGAAATTTAAACTTTATTGCAATCACTCGAGTTACTTGGTAATATCAAGTAAACGATGTACTCGAGGAATTCAAGTGACGTTAATACGCAATTTATTTCCATGGTTTTTTCAAGTAAACTTTACTTGTCAGGGTTTACAGTGTGGGGCGACAGTGGCCAGTTGGTAGAGCATTGGCAGGTCGTGGGTTCGAGCCCATCACGGGACCCACTCCAACTGCTCCCACTAATGCCTGCTGTCGTTGTGTCCTTGGGCAAGACACTGAACCCCACATTGCCTGAAGCTCCCGCTGAAACATCAAGGCTGTGGCACCACTGATGTAGCAGCCATCTTCCTGTGGACCCACCACCTGCAGTGGATCAGAGGGACTGGTGCTTTGAGCATTTGGTGGCAGCGCTCATTGCCACCCCCCCTGACCCAGGAATGGACTAAAAAAGTGGTTGAAAATGAATGAATGAATGACTTAACTCATCTCCAGAACCCTGACCCTTCTGTAACTGTACAATATCACACCTCTGGACACAATAATCAGCACTGTTAAATGTCTATTGCGTGTTACTCGTATATTAGAATTTTATTTTTATGCGTGCCTAAATATCTATTCATTATTATTTTCAACTTGTATCATACGTCTAAGCAAATTCCTAGTTAGTGACTCCCTGCTACCTACAATAGCAATAAAAACATAAATCTTATTCTGAAAGTTAGGTACCCCAGCTTTATGTCTAATGAGTTCTGCCATTTTAAACAAGACGTCAACCAAACAGTTTTAAGGGGCATTATGAAGAACTGAAGTAGATTTCAAACAACACTTCTGCATATTGTAGTGAACACGATTTAAACACGGCCCAAGTTAATAATAATAATGCATTGGTTTTATTTAGCGCTTTTTTGGACACTCAAAGACGCTTCACATGTCATTATTCATTCACTCCATACACAGTGGTGATAAGCGACTATTGTAGCCACACCTGCCCTGGGGCACACTGACAGAAGTGAGGCAACTAGTATGTGCCATCGGCCCCTCCGACCACCACCAAAACACCAGACTCATTCTAGGCAATGGGGGTAAAGTGTCTTGCCTAAGGACACAACGGCAGTTTGGCACTTTACAGCCGCAGCCGCCCCACTGTGGCATCAAGGCAAGGCAAGGCAAGGCAAGGCAAGGCAAGTTTATTTATATAGCACAATTCATACACAAGGAAATTCAAAGTGCTGAACAGAACAAGAAAGCATTAAAATCATAAATAATCACAGTACATTAAAAAAAGATAAAAATATAAAATCCCTCAGTTGTATGCACAGCTAAACAGAACTGTTTTCAACCTTGTCTTAAACATTGTCAGAGAGGAGGCCTGTCTCACATCTTCAGGAAGACTGTTCCAGATTTTAGCAGCATGAATCTAAAAAGCAGCCTCCCCATGTTTAGTTCTGACTCTGGGCACTAACAGGAGTCCAGTCCCTGTGCTCCTCAGAGTCCGGGCTGGTTCATATGGGACTAACATGTCACTAATATAGTTTGGTGCGAGGCCATGGAGAGATTTGTACACAAGCAGAGCTGTTTTAAAGTCTATTCTCTGAGCCACAGGAAGCCAGTGCAGAGACCTGAGGACTGGACTAATGTGGTCGTACTTCCTGGTTCTAGTCAGGACTCGAGCTGCTGCATTTTGAATGTACTGCAGCTGTTTTACAGCCTGTTTGGACAGACCTGTGAGCAGGCCATTGCAGTAGTCTAACCTACTGGAGACAAATGCATGGATAAGAATCTCCAAGATTCTTATCCATGCATCAGGTGTTCCTGACAATATTCCTCTCAATTTTTGTAATACCTTTGAATAATATGATGGACATAAATCGCGAAATCGAAAGGCAATACTCGGGGAATTGCAATTTGTTAAGAAATGCAATAATATTGAATAGTTGCCGATATAGTGCAATACTATCGAATCATCAATTTTTTTCAAAATCCCACCCCTAGTTCTGATCCCCCTGACCTTGTGTTTATCCATGTATATTTAATTTCTAAAAGACTAAAGTACATACTCTCAAGTTTAGGGTCTGAAAAGAACAACAGTTGGTTTTTATCTTAGTTGTACAAATTATAAATTATTATTATTGTCCTATCCAATCTTTTTTTCCAGAACATTATATACGCAAAACATACTTACTCCGACACTGTCTTTATACTTCTCTGATTTTCAATTCCCGCCCTAAACATAGAAACAAAGAGATAAAAAAGTAGTTGCAGCTCTCCACAGAAGCCAAAACCCTTTTACCTTATTATTTCAGTATTTCCTTCCAGTCTCCGCTCTCTCCCGTACATTATTTTCTTGCATCGCACTAATGAGAGCAGATCCGCCTGCGGCTTTCATGTATCCTTCACTTGTGACAGGGCCACTATGAAGCTTCTCCATGGCGACGGACGAGGGACCATCCGTCAGTTGGCTGCGGGCCCCGGCAGCTTTCCAAATGACCCCCTAAATCACGCACATTATTATTTTCCTTTCAGCGCAAAACTCAAATGGCGCCTCATTCATCGCGACGCAGCCGTAGAGCGCACACATTTAGAACCGTGCTGTAAATCCCTTCTCTTCCTCGGGTCAAATGGGAATGACGGATTTTTGGTTGCCGTAAAGTGACTCTGGAGTGTTCCGTAAGCGCTGGCAACTCTGGAAGATCGCTGACAGCCCATCAGTCGGCTTTCTCTTAACCACATTTCAAAGCCCGGGAGCAAAGTATCTGAAGGAGGAAACTGAGCACAAATATGAACTCAACATTACTGTATATTCCTATATTTTACGTACAATAAACTCAAAGATATGAAACATCTACATCTGTTTTAGTGAGCACATCCCCTTTGCAGAGTTAATCCACCCCAGGTCCTGAGTGTGTCTCCAGACGAACGGTGGAGACACACTCAGGACCTTCTCGCTGTGAAGCATAAGTGGAATCCACTGCCCCACTGTGCCGCCCAAGCCAAAATGTTACTGTACTGAAAATGTACCTAAAATATGAATTCACTTATTTTATGGGATCATGTATATTAAGCACTTTAAAACATATTTACCCGAGGAGCTGGGAGATCATAGCCACATTCCGTAAATGCTTGTAGAGAGCAGAAGAATGTCCACAAACATAGGCGTGCCAGAAGGGTGAGAGGAACGGAGACCCCCGCCTGTGGCCCCACGGACAGAGTGTGACGTCAACAAGTTTTACATGGGTTTTCTGTGTTAAAACATAAAGCTTTTGTGAGTTTTGTGATTGGACTGTATTTTTGCACCATAAGGTGCACCTGATTATAAGGCACCTTATCAAATTATA